CTGCCGCTACGTCCGCCAACGCTTCCGTTTCCGCTCCCATTTCCGCTTCCGCCCCCGTCTCTACGTTCGCAAGTAGCGCAATGTCCGGCTCGAAGCCGAGCAAGAGTCCGCGACTCGAGCAACCGGATCAACCGCTCGATTTCACCACCACCTCGAAAAAGCTGAGAACTAGCACGAGAACTTTGCCATCTACCGCGAGTAACCTCGAGCATCACGTTCAACAGCAGCAGCAGCAGCAGCAACAACAACAGCACCACCTCACAGCCCGTTTATTACCGACCGAGGGAGGATCAGTGGTGGTCTCGCACTCGGAAGACAGACCGTCCAGTCGTATGAGCGGCGAATTCGTCACGGGGATTCGTTCCCCGTCACCTCTTCCGCAGCAGCAGCAACAGCAGCCTGTGAAGGACGAGGAAGGCATGTGGAGACCTTGGTAAAACGTTAAACATAGGAAAAAAAACCCGCGTACCCCTCTTAACAAGCCCACACGTGTGGAAAAAATAAAAGACAGAAAACTACTCCCGGGCACGTGACTCTATTTCGTGACCTATGCAAAGGGAGTTCAAGTAGTGAAAGTTGGGGTGAGTGGTATGTGTGCGCGAGTGTGTCACTTATTCTCGTGCCGTTCGAGAACTGTGACAACTCGACGGAAAAACGTCTTCTCGAGTCGAACGACGGACGATGCGATTCCGCGGCGTACGATCGTTTACATACAGTGTCAGTGACCGAAAATTACGACGTACGCGCTTTTGTTGCCACGAATTCTACTACGAGCTGGTGGTACTCTACTGTTTCGTTTGGTGCTTGAGAGTGGAGGAAGGAAGGAGAACGTATTTGCTATTCGGGGAAAAGGGGGAAAGATACTTGTGCACGATTTAACGACGTTTCACGTAACCCGTTCGAAGGGTTGCGAAGTGTATTAAAACCGGTGTATGTACATGTATATGACAAATATCTGACGCACGTTGTAGAATGCGAGCAGCGAGAGGATGTTTCGCGCATAATACTTTATTCCGCCGTCGTGTACATAGCCCCGATTGGAATTATAATTAATGCCGGATATAGATTTATTTTGATGTTAACTAGGTGTATATGAGTACGAGAAAACGCAGGCGAAGAGTGCATGGGAGAGAGAGAGAGAGAGAGAGAGAGAGAGAAAGAAAAAAGATGCGAAAGTGAGGGCGAATGCGAATGCAAGTCACAGCCTGTATGGTACGTGTTTTGAGAGAATGAGCGAGTTCACGTTCTAGATGAACCACACAGTTTTGATCCAACTTACCTCTGTAATTGCTATGTTGAGAATCGAAATTCCTTATTCAATGTACTTAGACATCGGTCAATATAAAACATGCATACTGAACCACAAACCTTTCCATTATTTCCTGCGTTCCATTTATTTCCTGTCACCTGTCGCGTTCCTTACCTATGCTCTCGTTCAACACGCGTAAACCGAACGCGTCTTCGGTCCAACACGTCCTCCTTCTGCTCCTGCAATGAAATTCGGTAAAAGCGGTCACTACTATTTACACTTACCAGACGTTAGAACAGAGTGACGCGTACACGCACACTGACGCATCGACTCCACGATTTCGCGGTTATTCATCGGCAAAGTCTGACCTCTCTCTCTCGAGCTCCGCGCCGTCGGCTGCTGCGTGTTACAGCAATTTAACCACCTGTTACGTCGGAACTCGTGTCGTACTTTCGCGCTTTTCTTTTTCGCGAAACACGCGAGTACTCCGCGCATCGCTCTAACCTCTGACATACCGTCTCTCCTCTTCCAATTGTACCCTCGTACGCTGCGAAAGAGCCCACAGTGGGGAGGGGGATCACCCCCCTCTCTCACTCCTTCTCTCTTTCCCATGCACGCACACGCCCACACGCAACCTTGCCAACGCTCGAGTAAAATTCTTTTAAGAAAATCCCCTTCCTTATCCTTCACGCTTTTCAGTTACTTTTGCACCGAAAACTAGAATGTCGGTGTTTTCTTCCGATTCCTTATACTCCACTACGTTTATTCTTTCCGTTTACGGATTGTTCGTTGATTGATTGATTATCGATTCGATGATTAATTTTGAAGTGACGACGCTGTTCCTACGATGAACACCGACCTGTTACACTTCCCAGTATAATGAGTAAAACAGGCATACACTCAGAAAAAAGGAGAGAGAGAGAGAGAGTGGGAGAGAGCAAAGGTTCTCTTTTCTGGTTATGTGTCAGAGAAGGGTAGGGAAGAAACCGCGAACGACACTAGCGCCATCTCGTGTTGACCGCATAAAGTAACGACTCGGTATCAGGAACATAGAATGGAAATAGTGCTATTGCGTGAAGGTATTAGACGAGGAGCGCACGAATCTGCCACAAGGACAGGGAGAAATATATCCTATTGGTCCAGACTCGCCGAAGCTCCACCCCCTTGAAGATAAATTCTTCACGCTAAGGAAAAATCGTTAATTACTCATGATCCACGAAGAATTTCTGCATTTTTTGCATCGAATAACCGTTATTTTTGGTTACCAAGGGAAACATGAATTGTTCGTAAAAGAATATCGGTTCTTTTTGGCTATGAAGCTACAACGACTGAGCATAGACACGAGTGGCATACGGTTTAGTTTCTTTATCCTAAGGAAAACGCTGGTAAGAATTGTAGGAGAAAGTTGCTGAATGATCACGTACCATGACGCAAGTATGAAACCGCGAGAAACGAAGAAGTGACGAATATTCCCGCAGATGATTCAGTCTACTGATAACTAATTAATTCAAACTAAAATCTTTGGAAAAATTTTGTAGGAAAGTAATTAGATATTTGTTCTTGATTGTACCATATCGAAAGCATAGGAACTTTGATAATGAGTCAATGAAATCGATGAATTTTCTTAGCATAGTCGATATCACCTTCTGGATGGGGCGTAGCCTAATTACGGCCGGGCCAGTAGGAAAAGTCTTCTCTCCCTATCCTCCTCTCACAATCCTTGCTTCTTGTCTAATACCTCCAAGCACTTTCTACTCTCCTAATACAGAGCCGTCAGTTTGCGCGGACAAACACAACATGGCAAATTGTACCACTCGTTCTCCTTGTCTGATAAATACATCTGCCATCTTTATCTAATATACCTCCATCCACATTCTATTATGCTATTAACCCGGAAATTTTCCCAGAGCAGGATTTCATTCATGCACGCGAAAGCTACCCGTTTCTAATTCACTGTGCCTCCTCGTCTACTACTCGTTCCTTTCCCTTTCCATCTGAAGGGATGGAGGAAAGAGATAAAAGGATTGACGGAAAAGGGGGCGGTGTTTCATCCTGGGCCTCCAGTGGACCCGTCAAGTAAGGCTTTCTAAGGAGGCCCGTGCCCACCTCAAATTCTTCAACCTGAAATTTTGTAGAGCCGCCTGAAGTAAGCAATATAATAGACGTTAGATAACTTGAAGATGGGTAATTGGTGTAAAAAACCATGCATGGGCATATACGTGCAGGAAAATTTTCAAGAACTGCAAAGCGCGGGAGGGACAGGATGGACTCAGGTCAGAAGTTATATACATATATACAAACGGGAGCCTTTATAAGAACTAGCGAGAATTCGTGGTTAGTCCGTTCCTCTGGTGGCAGAACTTAGAAACGTCGCTACACATCTTATCGTGAGTATCCATAGTATGCATATACAGAGCTCTCTATAAAGAGCTCTGTTTTTTATTCTTCTCCCCAAAAATTCATTATGAATCGCACACTGGTTGGCGATTGGTCTGATAGAACAATATGCGAAGAGAAATAGGAACGAGACACTGATGCGTTCATTTTCAAAGCATCGTATATACCAAATGAAACCAATTGGTTGAACAGGCTGAACAAAAGAAGGTGGACAACGCGTGCGTAGATACAAACAAGCGATCTCAAATGGAAAGAATATTTCTCTGCGTCGAAGAACAAAGGAGAAATTAGTCGTTCGTTTGGATAAACGAAAAAAGAATTGGAGGATATGGCGACGAGAGTAGGACAGCAACAAGAAAATGTGTCGGAGGATAGTATACTTCTACTAACGGGAAAATTTCTCAAGACGTATTGGAAAATACTGTTCGCGGTGACGTGGGCAATATTTCTCTTACCGTTCTTTATAGTCTACAACATACCGGTACGTATGTTATATTTAAGCAGAGAATAAAAGCCATTTTCTTACGGTGATCTTACAAGTTGAGTGTACGACGACAGGAAACTAGATGCGCGTACACCATACTACTGATGGCTGGATATTGGATCTCAGAGTGCTTTCCAATGGCGATTACGTCGTTGATCCCGGTTGTGTTGTTTCCATTGTTCGGAATACTGAGCACAGCGGACACTTGCAGCTGTTACATGAACGATACCATAATGGTCTTCATAGGAGGTCTAATCCTCGCCGTAGCTACTGAGCATAGCAATCTCCACCTAAGGATCGCTCTAGGAGTAATGAAAACGGTTGGATGCACCCACGGGAAATTGCTAGGTGGCCTCTGCGCAGTAACCACTTTCATATCCATGTGGGTTTCGAACACAGCTGCCACTGCCATGATGGTGCCTATCATATTCGCGGTTCTCACCGAATTGGAACAGGTTCGACACTATATCTTTACATACAGTATATACATATGCATATGTACATCTGTACGTATACATATCGTGGGATTGGGGCTTCCAACCAAACTGCACGAGTAAGAACGAGGAAAAATACAGAGGGCGCGTTTGCGTATTGCGCAGAGTCCCGGCTTTACCAGCCGGAGATCACGAGATCGCCCGAATTTTTCCTCGGCTCCTATGACATGCATATACATGGGAACTTTTTGCCTTGGAGAGCATCCTTAGCTCCCTGGCTCGTTCTTCTTAGGCTGGACTCTGCCGTGTCTTCGAAAATAAGCTGGATCCGGAGAATCCCGGGAAAGAACCGTAAGTAAGATCGAATGTGACACTTGAGAAGAGAAGAATAGTTTGAACGATGTACAGGGAACAGTACCCGACGAAAGTGACGAAAGCATACTTGATGGCAGCGGCGTACTGCGCAACTTTTGGCGGTACTGGAACGATCGTGGGAACAGGGACTAATCTTACGTTCAAAGGGATTTACGAAAACACCTTCCCAAATTCGGAGGGTATTAACTTTACGCAGTGGATGATCGCCTCGATGCCGCAAATGATCGTTAACACTATTCTAACGTGGCTCTATCTTCGCATCGTCTTTATGGGATACCTCAGGCCGGGTAGCAAGGATGCTCAACTGGCGACTATTGGCGAAGAAGGCGAGGCAATTACAAATCGGGTAACGAATCTCTCATCTTCTTTCTCAATTTCTATCGTATGTATATACCTACATATACAGTCGCGGTCATTAATTTCCGGCCACCTTTAGAACGATATAACTTTTTTGAAATTGAACCAAATGATTTGAGGTTTTTTGACAGGTTAGAAAAATTAGTTTACTAGATGACGTGACTCAAAAATTTTGAAAAAATTCCAATTTGTGGGAATCGCGAAGAAAATTGTAAAGGTTACTGTTTACAATTTTTTTATCTAAGCTTGTTGTGAAAATTTAAAATATACCTTTCTAGATTTATGTCAATTATATACATGCTGCAGAATTTCATAATAATAAAGTTATATAATGATCGCAACTGTATATGAGCCACTCAGAAGCCAAAATGACTAACTTCATAAAATAAAATTTATTAAATTTGTTTTATTTATGAAAAATTAAGCACCAATCATGTGCTCTGATACTAAAATTGGAAGAATATGAAAAAGGGGAGTTAATCATTTTAATTTCTGAGTGGTTCGTACATATACGTATTTTACAATTAGTGTACGTCTACTGATCGATTGATTTTTTTTCTTTCCCCCTTCAAACAGTACTGTTTTTTTCTTTTTTGCCCGTTTAAAGGTGATACAGGAAAGGTACAAAGAACTGGGAGGAATAACATTTCACGAAGCATCCGTTGCCACTCTCTTTTTATTCTGTATATTTCTCTGGATATTCCGAAAACCAGGCTTCGTTCAGGGATGGTCCGAGGCGATCACGGACATGTTAAATATCATTTTACGCGATTCATTCGCTTCTCGTCAGTCACACATACACACACACGCACACACTTATACACCTTTAATCAATTCTGAATCTCGTTGACAGAGCCGTCCGGGACTCAACGCCCGTCATATTAGTATCCATCCTAATGTTTTTCATTCCGAAGAATTTAAATTTCCTACGTAGCTTCGACAAAGATCGTGAGTACTCAAAAACTCGAGTATAGAAAGTATTGACTTTTTACATTGAATACGCTCTCGTTTTCGACTAATTTTCCGTGTAGCCACAAACAGACCCAACGTATCCTCCGAGGGTCTGATCACGTGGGACGTAATCCAGAAGAAGATGCCTTGGAGTTTGATGTTCCTATTGGGCGGCGGTTTCGCGATATCCAGGGGCAGTATCGCTTCATGCCTGGCCAAGAGAATGGGCGAAGCGTTGGTACCGTTGAAAAGCTTGCCTCCTGTTTTAATTCTCTTCTTCGTCTCCCTGTTCGTGGGAACTATAACCGAGTTCACTTCGAACGTTGGTATCGCGAACATTACTTTGCCGGTGGTCGCACAAATGGTAAAATATACATAAATAGTACCTCTTAAATGTAATCACATATTGGTCACGTATTTGATTGGTTGCAGTGTGTCGCGATGGAGATGCATCCGATGTATTTAATGGTACCAGCCACTATAATGTGTTCGTACTCTTTTCGATTACCGGTTGGTACACCACCGAACGCGATCATAACGGTCGTCGGACATATCCCGACGAAATGGCTGATGATGGGAGGCTGCGGTCCTTCCCTCTACGCTATCGTGGTCCAAGGATTATTCTTCATCACTTGGGGCACTTTTATCTACGACATCAACGAATTTCCAGCCTGGGCTAAAGAAATCCATTCGTCCGATGCAAATTCCAAGTGCAATTAAATTTTTTTCACTTTCTCACATTTCTCCTAAGCTTGTTACACTTATGTATTTGTTAAATAAATTTTACCACATTTGGAATATGCATACACCGCGTCAATACCATACATACATACATACACGCATAGGGTGTTTTCAGGTAATTAAAACGTAATCTACGTAATTAGAAGAAAGAGACAGGGTAGTGAGTAATTGAAACGAAATTGCGCATAGATATGCGTGCGTGTCTTCTCTGATGCGTGTGTACGTATCCGAAGAAAAATGACACGCGTATTTCGCTGGTACGGTCATATTGGTCGCAACGCGCGATATTAATCAACCGCCGGTTAAGTTGGTGGCTGTGTTTTCGACACAGGCGACTCGCTCTTTTTCGGGCTCGAATTGATTTCCTGCTGTTCTAATCTACGATGTCGCAACATGGTGGAGAGCACACCGTTGAAACTGGCTGTTTTCTTCTTGGCGCTTCCTTTCGGAGTACTTTCGCCTATTCTACGAACCGGTAATCTCGGCGACGACATTTCGTCCATGAAATCAAAGTCGGACTTTTCTTCCGTCCTATGGAACGAACGTAAAAAAGGGATCGTAACAGAGAAAACTCTTACGAAGAATACGAAGAGCCACCACTACGGATTAGAAATGCACATCCTCTCAACTCACTTGTACTCTTGCGACCCGTTATCTTGTTGACGATTGTTTGACAGAACAGGAGAAGGACCTCTTCTACCAGGACATTTCCACTCCAGTTCCAAAATTCTGTTGTTCGCTTCGAGGGCTTCGATCAACGTTAATATATCGTCGGGCTTCAAAGTCCATTCGTTCTAAACCAATCGAAGAAATTCAATTGAAGGGAACTGCGCTAAAGAACTGTATTCACGCGATTCCCAATCTTTTTATTCACCTTTCCATCCATTTCGTATTTCTCGTCGTCCGAGCATTCTACCGACCAATCTTCCTCGTTGCGTTCCATTTTTTCAGCGGAAAAGTTGGAAAGACGTAGAATCCTTGCAATACAGAAAGAACCTAACCTCAAAGGGAAACTTGTTCTGCTAACCTCTGCCTTCGATAGCCTGCACGATCGTAACCACGAAAAGAAGTACAGCTTCTTTACCGACAGGTTCGAGTCTGTGATGGTCGGTATACGTTGGCGCGTAAATTTGAACGGAATTCTTCTACCGTCGTAAAATCCACGATTGACGGATGGGCTGAAGGCAACGTCAAAGAGAACACGCGCAATGAAAAACCAACGAACGAATGTTCTTTCCCACGATCTTCACCTCGTAAAACGCGATCGAACAATGTAGTAAACATGACAATATCATCTCGAATGCTTATCACGCCGTTTCATCGCGCGCGCGATACAGATTGAAAGTAAGAAAAAAAAAAACGTGGGATGAAACGAAACTATACTGGCACCGTTTATTCGATACGATCTTATTTTTTTTTCACCCTTCAATAACAAACGTATTCCTATTAGAGGGGTATAACGTGTTAATAGGGGTATAACTAGAAAAGGGCGCACGTATTTTAGTTTCTTAGGAAAATCAACATCGCTTTAATATCAACGATAATTACCTGTCAAGAATCTGACAAGAATGAATGTATATACCATCCAGACTGATATCTGGTATAATGTGCTTTAAATGACTGTATAGCTAGAAAAGGAAACATACAGGGGGTGGAAAAGGAAGGAGACTATGCCGTCGCAAATATCGCAGTATTTTCTTCGTTGCTCTCGCGAACGCGCTTGAAAATCATTCCGTATTTTCATTTCAACTCGTTGCCGCGTTCTCCTCCGTGAAATGATAATACTCGAGAAATCTTTTCGCAACGAAACTACGTGTAACGATGGATGAAGAGGACCATCGATGAAACACCGAGTACTTTTTCGTATTTCACACCAGTCCCACGTGACGTGTCTCCGTTTCGTTTCTGATCTTGATTTTAAGTGTCGTGAAAAAAAACAAAAAACAAAAACAGAATATAGGTAATATCAATTAGAAGCGAATTTCTACGTACAGCAGGGTGATCCTTACTTTTCCAACTCTTTTTCGTCCCCAAAACGAAGGAAAAATTCGTTGGTTCCAAGATGGAAGTGAAATCGGGAAGAAGGAAAATTCCGGCGCACTGTGATCTCTACGGAGCAATGTTCCCGATATATTATCTCGGCAAACTGTGCGGTTTGATTCCAGTCAGATTCGTGGTGAACAGTTCCGGAGGATGTCAGGCTCGTTCGAGTATCTTAGACCTCGCCTACAGGTAAGAAAGAATCGAAGGAAGATTCGATTGAATAAAAGAATATACGGACTAACGCGTTTGGTAGTTTATCTGTGCTAATATTGCTTCTCGGTACGGAAATTTGGGGATTGTGGCGAGACCTGAAAGACGGCTGGGAGCATAGCACCAGACTGAAATCTCGAACAGCAGTGATAGCAACGTGTAGCGACGTTCTTGGTGTAATGGGTCTAACCGTAGTCTGCATCGTCGGCTCTCCTTTCCGCTGGAAATACCTGCAAATCGTCGTAAATAAATTAATCGAGGTGTCTGTGTGAATTGTCTTCTATTAGTTTCTTCTCCGTTCGTGCTTCGCTCTAATGACACGTGTATCGACTACCGATTCTGTTGTTTCAGGTGGATGAGAAGATCGGTCTACCGATCACAAAGAAGAGTCGGAGATTCACGATTGTCCTGATAGCGTGTAGCCTCGTCTACCTATGGTCCGCTTCGATTCTCGACTTTTACACGTGGAGACGGAAGACGAAAGTTCACGAAACAATGCCGGACAAAGGTCCTATCAATTACACACCCCTGTACTTGATGTACACCGTGATCATCTCGACCGAACTCCAATATACAATTGCGACGTACAACATAGGACAACGATTCGTGTGTTTAAACAACAGTCTGAGAAATCTGTTCAACAGCGGTAACGACGATCACAACGACAACAATAACGAGAACAACAACAGCAACATTACAATGATCAGTTATTTTCGAAAATGTGCTGAAACAGGTAAAATACGAGTATATGTACGTATGAAATTGCTGATTTTATTTCGTTTTATCCATCAATCGTGTATACATATGTATATGTATGTATATCCAGCTGATGACATTCGCGACAAGAAAAGATGGAACATCGCAACGCAAAAACGGCTCGTATTCGACAACAGCCACGGAGTCCCACGAAAATTCGATGGTAAACTGACGAACGAATGGTAAAATTTGAACGATTTCGCGCATCGCATGTTCTTTTTTTTTTTTTTTCAGAAAGTAAAACGTACGTAAACAGTATATCCGAATTGATAATGATTCATTCTTCGCTCTGCGACACAGTCTCCCTTATAAACAGCACATTCGGTATGGTGATATTGGCCGTCACTGTAACCTGTCTGCTACATTTGGTGATCACACCGTATTTCTTGATCCTGCAAGCTGGCGAAAAACACGAATGGATATATCTGCTCGTTCAGGGCGGATGGTGTATCTTCCATATCACCAGAATGCTGATAATCGTTCAACCCAGTTACTTCACCGTCGCGGAGGTAAAACAGTTTGAACAGGAAGCAAGATTAGACACAGATGGAGAGAAAGAACACTCTTGATCGGTTTCTGTTCTCAGGGAAGGAGAACGGCGATTCTCGTTAGTCAGTTACTCTCGCGTAGCTTCGAAGCAAACGCCCGACGAGAATTGGAGATATTTTCACTTCAATTGTTGCATCGACCTCTCGAGTTTACAGCCTGCGGCCTCTTCCCTTTGGATAGAACTTTAATAACGTCGGTAAGGGAGAAGAAAATCGTGAGGGGAAAAAAAAACGAAAAAAAACAAACAGTGTGCTCGGATGAAAAATGTACGAAAGTGTGTTTTAGATCGCGGGAGCTGTGACGACATATCTCGTGATACTGATACAGTTTCAAAACGCGGACGACACGAAAGGCGACTTTGACATAATAAAAAACGCATCGCAGATCCTGAAGAACGTTTCGCCGCTTCAGAATCTCACTGGATTAAAAATCACCGCGTGAAATGAGACCGGAGGGAACGGACAGACAGAGAGCGAACAAGAGAGTGAGAGTAAGAGTGAGAGAGACGATCGAAGATTACAATAATGACATTTAATATTCCAATTCTCGTAAACAGCGGTAATATACAAATACAAGTTACTCGTGTCGTAATCCAACTACTAATTGTACAACGAATCGTTTCATCGATCGGTCGACGAATAATTAAGAGCGCACCTCGTACAGTGTTTAAAACTAGACGTGTCAGTCACAGCCTATCCAAAATATTCCTCGGCCTCGTCTTGCTGTCCGTATCTCTGATGAGGGGATAAGATCTCTCCTAAAAAACGGGGAAACTTGAATAGTCTCGTTCGAAGAAGCCAGGTATCTCGTTGAATCAAGTTATACTCTGGTACATGGTTGTACATAAAGTATGTGCAACCTCTCGTATACTGCCACGCGTTTCCTCCCACCCTCTCTCTCACTCACGCACGCACGCAACACACGCATTCTCTCTCACCTATCTATCTATCTATCTATCTATCTATCTATCTATCTATCTATCTATCTATCTATCTATCTATCTATCTATCTATCTATCTATCTATCTATCTATCTATCTATCTATCTATCTATCTATCTATCTATCTATCTATCTATCTATCTATCTATCTATCTCTATCTCTCCGATGCGCTATACACTTTTCTTCGTACAAATTATTACTCTAGTAATAAATATTGGATTGCTCCAAGTGTCCTAATTGGCGGCTATGTCACGCGCGCAGTATATCATACGCCTGGTCGTACGGACATGATGGATGGTGGTTGAGAGTACGATACACTTGGCATCGTCGAAAGCCAGATTAGAAACCCGAATGCTACGAACGTTCCTTGTCGAGCTTCCTCGCTCGCGTGACCATCTTCAATTTGCTGTGGCTGCTGTAACAGGAGGAGGTTGTGCTTTTTGGTGCGCAACCTGCAACAAGTTATCGCAACAACTGTCCTTCGTCACGTTTAAACCCTTCGATCGATCACAACTGACGAAACTTTCGGAATTGGACGACTGGAGTTCCGGCTCGTTCTCCCCTTTGCTCTGATGCCGGGCGTTGCTGCACTGACAGGGACTGGTGTGCCGGTGAAGACGGGAAAAACACTCGCCGCAGACTCTGACGGGATTGTAGAGCTGCTCACTGGGTAGCGGTGTTGAGTTTTCGGAACAATCCGCGCAAAAGATCTTACCGCAGCTTCTGCGATGATAAAATTTCACTGTACGCCTGTATGAACTACGCGACCAACTTCCTATCGACTCTACCAACTACCGACTCGAAAATCATAGGAACACCGATCACTATACCTGCAGTGATGTTTACGCCTTCCCAGCCAGAATTCCGTGTCGCACCCCATGCATCGACTCACCGCGTGATCCGGTACCCATAGAGTAGGAGCTGGACCTAATTCCTCGACCGCTTCCCACGACATGTCCGATGGTAACGATTCTCCATGATCGCCAGTACTTCCTACCGAATCGGGTAACGATCCCTGGAACACGTGATCCCTAGTTTTTCATTTCCTTTCTTATCCATTCTTTTCCCTTCCCTTTCTATTTCATTATCTTTTATTTTCCTTTTCCGTATCTTTTCTTTTATTCACTAATGCAACTAGAGATCATTTTCGTATAGCTTCCCGATCGGGTAGAATATGCTATGAATCAACTCACGATATCGTCAACACGATCGGTCTCTGCGTTATGATTACAAACTTGCTTGATCAGAGCCATTCTGGTCGTGTGTAATTCCTTCCTCAACGCTTCCTCCTTCAACTGAAACGTAACGAAAAAAAGAAAAAGAAAGGAAACAATGTCGTGATCGTTCAATTCGAAACTTCCCCTTCTCCTTTACCACTCTGTACAATCGAGCGAAATTAGTACCTTGCGCTCCACGATTATTTGTTGCACGCGCATCTGAACGTCGCAATGTATTACGGGAAGACCATCGACATCGTCCAATCTATCAGGATTATCTGGCGGTGCCGCGTGCTGGCAAGTCGGCGAAGCCGGACAAACGCTACTAGGTGTTCTTGATATTAGCGGTGCACTGGTGTCGCTAATGTCGCTACCCTCGTTGTGATTCTGATTGTGATTGTAACTGCGACTGCAAGAGCAAACGGTTCGACTGGTCGCATTGCTCTCGATCCAGGGCGATACGGTGTCCGACGGCGAATTTTTCTGCGTTCTGCTGCTCGACAAAAACCTTTTGTTTCTTTCTTTCGTTCGTTCGTTGGTTTGTGTTCATTCGTTTGTTCGATCGATCGAATTTGGATTTTCGCTACTCGGGCTCCGCTTTTTGCCTCGAGATGATCAATTTCATCTTATCGCTTATCAGATCCGCGCTTAATCCTCTATTATACACGCGCCGATACTTACGTTTCTTTATCGGCTGCACCGAGTAAAGAATCGTTGCTGGGTATTAGCGTGTCCGTTGAACTGTCTACTGATGGATTCACCGGTGAATCGTTCGAGGCTTCGTTCGTTGTCCAAGTCGTCGTGCTCGTACTCGTGCTCGTGCTCGTGCTCGTGCTCGTGCTCGTGCTCGTGCTCGTTGTCGACGTGGTGGTCATCGTGTTCGTCGTCGTCATACTCATCGTCGCCGTCGTTGTTGTCATCGTCGTGGTCATCGCGATAGTCGTTGCCACGTAATGATACGTGTCATCGTCCAGATTCTCCGATAGATTTCTCTCCACCGTGTCGTCATCGACGATTTTACAATCTTCCACGTGGTTTGCAGTAGCCTTCTCACTCGTCTCCGTATCGAGTGTTAAAGAATCGAATTTCCTGCACAATCGTGTCAAGTAATGCATCTTGTTATTCCACTACTGCTATTGCTACGTTCTATTTAAAACACGAAACGAAATAAGACCGATGATTACTTTTCCATCGCAGCGCTTGGATCGCTGAGTCGACGGTGAAGATAGGCCGCATGATCGGGGGTGTGCATCAGATCGCCGTACGAACGAGTTTTGGTCATTTGACCCTGCGGTTCCTCGTTCTCTCCACCCTCGATATCTATCATCCTCACTCTCTGTTTATCATCTCTAATACCGAGGGAAGATTCCATAGAACCTAAATATACTTCGGACCACAAAACAAGGTCCCGTACGTTACAACTTGGCCATAATACCTGATGAGAGAAAAACATCGATGGTATATAAATGGTATGCCTGAACGCGAGTCTACTACGATTAGTCTATTCTTGTATAGACTATTCGTATAAGCATGATATGCGAAAAATGTCCTACTTGATTCTTCAACGGGGAATATAAATGATTTACAAATGAACTGGAGTTTAGGAAACGCCAAACCGAAAATGTACGCTCCCGTATTCTCAGCTGTAACCTTTCTTGCCTCGTATTGAAGAGAAACGTGCCGAAAAGCTGTGAATACGTATGCTGTGCAAGTTTCACCTGAAATCAATCGATTACGCGTGTTCGATTAATCGAAATCTAATTAAAAGATTCACGAACACATATAGTAGATATACTCACAAGGTAGGCTGGCGACATTTGAAAACTGCACTTGAACTGTAAGGTCAGCTGATGTACACAGTCGAGCCACTGAAGAAATACTGGGCATCGCTCGTTAGGGTCTTCGTACCCAACCGTTTGTCCGCAACGATCCGCAAATTTGTGCCCAAAGTCTAACCATTCTCTTTCGCATAAAACTTGGAATCCCTGGCAATGATTAAGCCGAATAACGGTACGATTATCCAGTGGAAGAAACAAACAAAGAAAGAGCAAGTACCTTTCGCGTACCTCCATAGTTCGATAATAAGGATCGAGAAGAATTTGTGCCAGAGCGACTATCTGAGGTGTTCTGTCCCAGCCATCGCTACAATGAACCAGCACCGGTCGACCGTCTCTTTCTATCGTTGACGCTACAGTCACTGCTGCCCGTAACAATCCAGACATGTGTTGTAACCATCGTGTCCCTTCCAAAAGACTGAGCCAACTGTGTACACCACAGAACACAACACATGAGTAAATTACATCCTACTGCTATCACATGATGCATCGACAGCAATGCAACAGAGAGCGAAAGAAAATTAAGTACGAATATCTATGTATGTATTTACGTGAGTTGGTCCGCGTCCGACGCGCATAGCTGTCTCACCGCGTGGAAACTCTTTCGTATCGAGTGAATATTTGGTAAATTCATGAATTGTATGTCGCAACTCGGATAATATTCAGGACATTCGCAACCACCACCGCGCGCTCTATTCGCGACAGCGGTTGTGTATGATCTGGCGTCCACGATCAACACTTTCTGTGAACAACGTACGTTCATTATCAATTCGTTTTATTAAACGATCCTACCTTAAGAATATTCGATGCTCACTTTCGTACTATTTGTCGCGACGCGATCGTCAGCAGTCTCGGGGAAAATGATAGAGGAATCCACCATCGTCGATTCACCTTTGTCATAGGAACATGCATCCGAAAGGGCTTTCAGCAAACTTTCGTCCTCTGCGCTACGCCAACCAAGCCATCCGACTTCTGGTTGACTACTTCGTGCTATTACCGCGCCATTATTCACGTGCCTTTAAAACGATAAAAAACGTACAAAAAAGTGGTACAGCTTAATGATGCAACTCATTTTCTTTCCAACTACCTCCACACGACCGCTGGAATTCGTCGAAAACTTCGAAATTTCGCCGCAGTCTCCAGAATATTGTCGGAAATGCAAGCAGGAACTAGAAGCAATGGTGGATATGATGGGCACATGCGATAATCTTTATTGATTTGGCTTATACGCCATGTACCGTGCAAACTAAATTTTAGTCGTTCCACCTGAGAAACAAATAAAGAAAATGATCGAATTACGAATCAAACTATTCAAACTATCAAAATGATAGTTAATGTTTTCAACTGCTAGAATCACTCACTTCTGAACTAAAAGTAGTAGTGTACAAAATGTTATCTTTTCCTAACTTGGAGTTATCCTTTCCTTCCTCTATACTCCAAGCGTAGTACGCAAAAGCAAATATATCCTCTATGTTCTTTCGTGGATAAGTCACTTTGTGTAATCGCTTGAACCACTCCAAGCAATGTTCATTTGTAGAGAAGGCACAACTGAACATATTAATATGTCCTCTTAATACGTCCTCTGTCTAAATTAAACAGTAACCAAAACAAAACCAATGTCTCATACCTCAGTGAACGGGCATCTTTACAACCAATATGCAAGAAGAAAATCTCTTTAACCTCCAACTGCTCTATCAAACCCAATGGAATATTGTAACATGTCTGACTTAATTGTAAATAGAGTCTGTAATTGGAAAGGGCCAATACTCCATCTGATGTACGTCCAAGTGCTACTATAGATTCTCCACTTAAAGGTGTAAATGGGACTGTAAGCGTTTCGTCCTCGCATTCAAAATGAGCATGCTTGGGAAATAACTCGGAAGCATGTAAATGACAAATAGACTGCAAACTGGTTGGTTCTTCAGAATTCTCCATCTCCACACTGTGTGACACATCATACAACCAAATTTCATTCTCTCTTCTTAACGTGATATGTGTAAATTGTGGGCTGAACTTGAAACCAGGTTACTCAAACTTATTAAATTGTATCCTATCTATTTACCCATCTGTACTGAAATGCATATTTCATAATATTATACTTATTTCACGCGTTTCAATAAATTCGCGTAACCGTAAACATACGCAGACGATAATTTTTTACTGGTTCCAGTGTCGTCTATTTCGCCAAATGATGGCTGCGTGATCCTTTAAATTACAGCTACATTGTAAATTAGTTAAACCTATTCCGAATAACGCGATTCAAAAACGACAAATATGATATCGATACGGCAATAAGCCGAAAGGACAATGAAATTTACTACCACTTATCAATTTATGTTGTTTTAAAACAGTACCATATGCAAAAATATCTTTGGCATAAAAGCAAATATAGAAAATATACAAAAAGAAAGTATTATCCTTGTAGTTCGTTCAAAATTGTCATCTAAATTTAAAAGGAAATTGATCGTTTTTCTTTAATAAGAACCAATTGTAAACCCGTAAATAATAAAAACGGCGGAAAAAGTGAAATCTATGAATAAAATTTGACAAATCTATCGAACCAGTAGAATCTTTTCGAGTCGTTGTCGACATACGCGTATCCGTGATTGTCGAGAGGTGATAATTCTACGGCCGTGATTCAATTGTACACGATTACCAAACTAAATAAAACTGATACGTAAGAAGAAGCTGCGAAAACGTTGAAAGATTAGAAAACCTTAACGAAAAAAACGATCGAACATTTTTTTTTCCACCTGTCTTTTCTAGTGAATTGTATTAAACGGTGGACAAGATCAAAACAGCGACGATGTCTTACCTTGGATTGCGAAGTTTCTCCGCGATGGACGATATCCAACCGTTTTGATACTTCATACAAAATCCATAAACAATCGTTTACACAAGAAGTACAGCGAGGACATTACTCAACCGACAGAGAGAACATTTCCCCGTGTAGAAAAAGATATAGCGATTTTGATTTCAAGCTTGACAAGTACCACAGTTTTTTAGATTTTTCGATAGATACGTAGATAGCTTACGGGATAAATGATTCCACACTAATCTTATGCGAGCCCAATCCAAACGCGATCACTTTTCGTTACGGCGATTGACAAGAATGATCAGCATCACGGGGAACGAACTCCATTAATCGAATCGTTTACCTTTATCCTTCGTTTCTATTTATTAGACAATAGTATCGCGAAAAATTCAATTTCCGATTAATTTTTACGAAAGATACTCGTTCTACTCGATGTGAAAGTTACACTGACAGATTAGTCTCTATACGCAAATTAAGCTGCTTTTTCATTGCTCGATATTTTTCTTAATGACAGTTTCCAACGAACGAATTTTTTCGTAAAACAATCAAATCATTGGTCATCATAATGCTCTGTGTATTTTAGACGAAGGAAATGTTCCCCACTTCTTAAAACCAATAACAAAAAGGAAAAAAGAAAAAAAGACAAATGGTATAAATAAGATACACGTACTATATATATACTTTCAAAGGAATTTTATTGTGCAAACACGCATTACTGGATCTTAATTTTGTGTTCCCATAAACGCAGAAAGAACGCCATGGCGTGTATCTCTCGCTAATCGTTCCTCTTACATTTCTTTTGTAATATAACACATTCGCTTTGTCATAATTGTTTGTAATTGTTCATAAATTACACGCGAATAAATTTAAAATTCACGCACCCGCTTGTTGCATTATTTCGATCATACATTCGTCTTTTCCTTCGTCATCCCCGAACCTTCGTTTTTTCTTCTGTGTTGTTTCTTTTCTATATTACCACGTATATTATTGTGAACTAAAAGTATTTACACTTTCGTAACATTTTGCAAATGTGATTTGTGAAACGTACAACGACCGAAACGAAAATGATACAACAGCTATCTACTCTTCAATGACGAGTTCGAAGAAGAAATGCATGGTTGATCGTAACGATGAAAATGCGGTGAATGTTTACAGAAAATGCTTGCATGTAGAGAATGTTGCATAACTAGTAAAATATGCAATAGCGTCATAGTTACTCGTATTATTATAGTACTGTTCTTTGATAAGAGAATATAAAAAGTTTAAATTTGCGCACGCGATGCGCCGCATTTCGCGAACGTAAACACGAGCGCTGAAAAATTGACGCCTCGCTATGCAAAATGCAAAGAAGCTATCGAGAGTCAGTCACTTTCTCATCATGCTTTCCAAAAATTTGGATTTTGTTGCAATCTCCTTTCAAAAGTCTCGTACCATCCCTGGATAGTTGATAGAGGTACGAAGTTTTCGGTTGGATTTGATGTCATTTGTGCTTGAGTCACCGAAAAACTCGATACATAATTCAAAAAACTAGTAAGCATCTTCTGAACAAATTCCAAAAACGAATTTGACATAGCTTCTGTCACTGTGGCTGCCTGTTGTTCTATGGCCACAATAGGTTCCACGGAAACTCCTATTTGTGCAACATGGGAAATCTTGCCCACACCAAAGATTCCTAAGTTGCTGTTCTCAAATTCATGATTTTTCTTTAAAGTGGATATCTTGAATATAGCAGATGGCTTAGCATTCGAGATATATCCAAGAAATTGCCAGTTTGGTGGAGCAGTTAAATCTGGCCAGCTGAAATATACTGTAAGAAAATCAAATTTCAGTTATTAAATAGAATAACATTTCTGCATTTGCTATACAGTAATTGTATACATACCTGCACCACCTGTCCCATCAGGAAATGGTATAGTACCCGTAAGAAATACCACGATGTGATTTATGTTATCTGCATCAGGAACAGTTATTAAAAATTGATTTTCTCCTATCTGCTGGAAATCTGTTTGCACCTATAAAAAAAAAAGAAAAAAAAATTGAATATTTACACTTTTATATATATTCTAAATACTTATATATGTGGTATGCATATTTTAAAGAATGTAAAATTGTTGATTGAAGTATGAAGAAATCTAACTTCGTCGACACTGTATTATCATGTTCGATTAGGTGTAAAGGTACTCGTGTCAATCTGACGACAGAAAGGGTAAGACGGGGGCGGGGCGTGTGGGGGAGGGACACTACTAAAAGGTAACAAGAACAAGATACGAAACAAAACGACAAAACACTTATAAAATAGGAAATTGCGATACAGCAACGGAAAGCATCATCTCAAGCATGAACGTTAAATAATCGCGTTAAATGATCACAGAAAATAATCAATTCATATTTAATTGACAATTTAACATCGAAAATGAAATACAATGTCTCTATTTCCATTGAGAAAGATTTATACTTACGAACCGACCAGATACAATAATACCAAGCATCTTTATGCCGAGTCTAGATCATTCTACCGCCTTCTCTTATCACGTTATACCAGAAAATATTCGGTACGTACAGACCGTCGTGACACCGTCCAAACATTTACGACAACCGCGAGAACGATGTTTATCGCAGTGTATATACTGTATAGAGTAGAAACGTGCTGTGGCGAATGAATGCTATATTCATAAAGGTGCATTTTCACGGGCACGAATTGTTAAATTTTTTAAATCGAAATAAAGGTAAAACGAAACGGTATAATACAATTGAGACAAAACGAGTTTTCCTCGATGTTTTCTTTGCTAGATAATTTGTTACTTTTTTTAATCGCTTTCCACCCACTTCCTGTTCACTAATTTTCTCTCTGCACGCAATTTCAATATATAAGGCAAAGTACCGATTAAACTATACCAATGTGCCACTTGTTGAAAATTAATACCATGCTATACGATTCGATGTTATATGTATATATTCTAAACTATACAATTAATAAATCCCAGAAACGGTATACTTTTATAAATTCGCATGATTATTCATAATTTGTGTATTATGTGCAATCTGAAATGATCCTTTTTGCATGTTATTTTAAGCCATAGTTTCATTACATTGTATCCTTCAATTTGCAAACAGTAATAGACAGTGGCATCGCAATTACTATTTGTAATTTTATAAATGAACGTTCAAAAAATAATTGAAGGGGATATCTTTTATAATTTAAGAAGGTTATTTTTGTTACGCTAATTCTCAAATCCATTTTTTATTCACAAGTATGCATATTCTTCGTATCGTGTATGTATGTACATACATACATATATACACAGCGTTGTTGAATATCCGTTTCACGGATTACTTCTATTATGTTTTTGATTACTTCTATTATGCGAATGAATGAATAGGTGGTCTAGATAAATGTTGACCAGGTAGAGTAGAATGTTGAGTAATGTTAAAGAAAAGATTAAAGAGGCGTATTGTGTTGTTCAGAGTGATGATATCATCTTTATCTTTTTATAGAGAAAATCAAAATATAACGTAAAATGAAACGCGTACAGATAGTATAAAATCAATGACGTCAGTGATTTCATTATGATTCTGTTGATCTTACGACAGATCACGGATCATTGAAAAAAGCTAGCTTTTGCTCACACTGGTGTTCAGCAGAAGGTTTTCCGTAGTCATTCGATCATTGCGTAGAAATAGAAGGCGATAAAAGAAATTCACGTGGAAGAAGGTGTTCGCAATCGTTGCGAGTAGATATTGAGGATATCGTGTGTTAAAATAGGTATAAGACTGAATCGGTGAATTGAAAGTCCCTGGGTGGATGGTGATGGCGATGGCGATGACGATGGTGCGACAGTGCGACGGTGAGAGCAAACCTCTACGAAGTTCGCTGTGTGTGACATCACGCTTCATTGTTGGACGTTTACGTCATCTCGAGTCTGGTTAAGTCGGTGTGCGCGTTCTACGGTAGTGTACACACGCGTATGGACTAGTGGCGGGAAGTGATAGAGACGAAAGAGGCGAAAAACACGCGAATCACCGTTGCGACTGCGCGAAACATGTTGGACGTGTCGTTTTCTCGTTAAATCGAAATTATTCTTTCTTCTGAATAGATAGTTTTGCCTTTTATTACGACCGCGACGATTCGTCATCGTAGGGAAAAAATAAAATGGTAGAGAAATAATCGAAAACTAATTAGGCGTAAAAAAGAAAAGGAGAGAAAGGGTATAGGGGGACGGTCGACGAAGGGAGGAGAGTGAGGGTAACTAAGAAGGATAGGGAGGAGAGGGTGAGAGAAAAAAAGAGAGAAGGTTCAAAAGGTGGAAAAGGAAAACGATACGAAGCGCGACGTTCAACAGTGGTAGCGCTGATTTGTGATTTCATCGACGGTTACTGATTTCGAGGGAGCAAGGCGATGTGAATCGAGTATTGGTGTGCTTTCGAACGATAGAGTACTATTCGCGCGGTATCTTCGCGATATTAGAGAAATTCTCATCAGTATGTAATTTAATTGCGATTCATTCTTAGTTGTGCCTCTTTGACGACGCGTTCTTACATTTTAAATATAACGGTGTATAAATAAGTATGAGCAATAGCGGGAGTGCACAATCGGAGCTCTCACCGTTCATTTTTCCAAAGGATCATAGTTTGATCGTCGTGTATTTTATTCGCGCTTGAGAATTGTAGATGAATGCACGTGAAATGCAGTCGGAATCGATGTTTTTGCCTTCGAAGTTTACCACATATGTTTTTCGTGCGTGGGCATGCAGCACCGAACTATCGTCAAGGTTAGTGTGTCTGACAGGCTCTCCATCGCCTCGCGAACTTATGCTAGTTTTCAGTGGGTAGCAGTGAGTAGCTGCAGTAGGTAATTAAATAGTGCACTCTACGTGTGTGTATGTGTGTGTGTGTATATGCGTACATGCATGCATGTGCGTGCATGCTTGCGTGTACGTGTTTGTTAATACTGATACTACATTTTTAAGCTCTTTGAGTATACACTACCTCATACTCGTACGGTGATATCCTTTCTATATTTCCTTCCATACAAAATATCAATCAAAAAGTAATTTGAACATTTCTCTGTATTTACCATGCTTGGAAAATTTTTCTCGATTCGTCGTTCGTTTTCTTTTCGAAGATTAAAATTATTTTAACAATGCTAATCAGTCCCATGACAATAGCGTGTAATGTGTACTCTTACTATGATGTACACGAAAAAGAAACGTGTGCATAAAAGAATAAATAAAATATGGCGATTTTCTTTCTAAATAGGAAAATTCAAAATTCTCCTCTGTTGGACGATTAAAGGATAAATGTATTGGATGGACATAGATTTTTTGTTAAGCACGAATCATTTTGAAGAATGAAGTCTACTTGTATATCTATTGCAGTTTACATCATCAGATATCGACAGAGTCAATGTAAGCACAGTTTTCATCTATGCATATTCTTAGTTATCTAAATTTCTTAGATAAACGTGTAATTTTGTTGCAGGGAAAAGAAACATACGTAATGTTGTTACGTGTAAACTGGGTGAAAACGTGCAAAGTGTGGCGACTTATTAAAAATTACTTGATCATTGGTCCTTATGCTTATATAATGCTCCAAGAATTTTACATCTTTGTCATTGAATTGGCACGATTGTGCAGACGAAGGTAATGCAAATATTCATGTTCCTTTAACTTGTTATCTCTTGGAATTATACAACAAAAGGAAACATGTTGCAGGCTTAAAGTGTGTCAGATGGTTGGTTATAATTAATCACAGCAAAGACAGTTTTCCAACGATGCAGCGTAACGTGCTTTTCCTTGTTGCAAAAGGATTTGATATTTGGAAGTATGTTTAGTAATACAATATTGGGTATCTGAAGTTATTTGGTAATCAAATGATTTTACCATTACCACACTCTAACCAAAATCCAATTTGATTCTTGGTCTTTCTTGAAAATAGTAACTTTTAAACAATCAAACAAAGTACAAGATGAATGAAAAATATGTACATATATATATATACATATGTAAATGTGTATGTGTGTATGTATATATATATATCAAATCCTCTTGCAAACTGGTTAAAGATTGATATGTATAGTTCGAGTGTGATAATATCACTTTAAATTGTAAACCCCGATGTTCCATTGCGATTGATTCGTGTACATGTAATTTCAGAACAGCCGCTTCTATGAGTGCCACTCGCCCGTTACACTGTGATGGAAAAGATACTAACAACAAAAGCGGTTCAAGTGAGTGCAACATTTGTACCTTACATAGGTATAATTTTACGCACTCCGACGCGTATCGCAGGTTTACGATGTTTATGCTTCTTCAGATAGAATGGCATATGAGGTATTTCTGGGTGGATCTTGTAATCCAACCACATGGAGGTCAGAAATAGCAATACCGGCTCTACAGAGACTTGGAATCACGTATTACAATCCCGTATGTACATTGGTGATCAGCATTAGTTAGCTTAAAGTGTACATTGATATGTAACAGTGGTTGGTTTTAATTGCAATAACGTATTTCAGCAAGTATCGCAATGGGGACCGGAACTGATAGCTCAAGAATACGAAGCGAAACAAACGGCAAAAGTATTACTGTTCGTAATCGATAATCAAACGCGCAACAGCGCGGGAATCATCGAAGCAGCTCAGTTGGCAGCTACTCGCCGCGAGTCTTTAATACTTGTTATTTATCCGTACCGTCAGGGTCAAACAATACTTGGCGAGACTGTATCTATGCAGTAAGCGTTCCTTTGCTCTTTTTTTTTTCATCCTTTTTCTGATTTTTCTATCGTTTCGTCGACAAAAATCGGTAATAGATAGATTTACGAATAAATACTAATTCTTGTTCAGAGAATATTACGACCTGACGAATGGATTGCTAGTACTTCAGTATCTGATGGAGAGACAGAGGATACCGATATTCGAGAGTGTATCGGTTGCTCTGAATTGTACGTCCAAGGTATATATATGTGTGTGTGCGTGTGCGTGCGTGTTATTCATTATTATTATTAAAATTCGGCATACAATACATACATATAAGAGAGCGTAAATGACCGTAAAAATTGACCGTACAGTTGGTGGTGGTGTATCGTTAATAAGTAGCGTTAAATAGCGACGCGAAATAATTAGTAGCGTAATTGAAAGGTACATTTAGTATCGATCGTAGGTGTTACGGGAGGAGATGAACGTGCAAGATCTGCATTCCGAAGATGGCACTAGACCGATTAAATTATCATTCTGTCAGAATGGAGTGGACGCGGTGTAAGGCTTTTTCGATAAAAATACGTGTGTATACACGTTTTTGCAAGCACGATCGTGGCGAATATTCGATTTTAACCTGCTCTTTTGCAGTATGCTCAGGGAAATTTTCAAATCCATGGATATCAACGACAGTGGAACGGTGAATCTGGAAGAAGTAAGTATTTTATTCAATTCGGTTTAGTCTAGAGTTTATTTCATTTGAAGGTCGATTAAGGAATGTTCGTTTCGCAGGCTTGGATAGCGTTACAATCGCGCATGAAGTGTAACGTTACGTCGGTATCAGAGCTTCTAAATGTTGTGAACAAATCGGGTAATAAACCTTTTCGCACGCGTGATACTCGGCGAGATTCGCTGAGGGAGTACGAAGAGAGAGAATGATTTTTCTATTCGTTTTCAGAAACGTATAGGACGTTGATAGACGATGGATTTCCAGCGAAGCGAGATCCGACGGAATTGCGGATAAACTTTGAACAATTTTCCACGTTGGCAGAGTCAGCGTCGTCGTGGAGGACGAAGAGCAGCAACGGCGTCTCTTGTGAAAGTGAGATACCTTCAGTTTGGAGTATTTTATGTAGGAAGGCATCGAAATTTCTTCGCAGAGCTATCGTGCAACCTTTTAACCGTTTCCTAGGTATTTTTTATTCTCAAAAATTTCCCATGATCCGTAATTTGCGTGTACGAATTAGTGAACAGGTCGTAAGAAGAGGCGTCACACGCATGCCTCGATTAAAATTATCATCGCGCGAAAGCGTTCGGAGTAATTCGAAGTGTGTGTGTGTTCGATTCGTTGGATCGTTGAACTTTTTAGATTGGACCAATTCGTTTGTGCCAGAATCGGAGAAGAGAGACTTGTACGTGGGAGCAATTGGTAAAGATCAGTTTTGGTTGGAAACGACCGCCGCACCCTCGATCGAGTGAGCATTCGAGATGTAACGTTCTTTCAATTGTCACCATTAGACCAATGTCGTTGTAAGTTTACATGTAAATTGTTGCTCGTTTTAGATCGATGGGATTATCATTGTATCGATTAAGCCTGAACGAGTACAACGTAAAGGTATTACCACAAGAATTGCAGAGGATGAAGAATTCGCGATTAATATTGCTGATCGTGCCGCAGCATTCGCGTGGTATCACCATAATGGCATTGGCAGCTCACCTGATTGGGTTACGCGCAAAATTAGTCCTGTGCGTTCAAACGCTTCCCGAAGATTGCGTAGTTTCTGGTGAAAAGGTGAGCGTATTTCTTTTTCCTCTCGTTTTTCTTTTTAATTATTTGGAACTATTATACTTAAATTATACTAGACTACATATACTTATATGTATATCCATATGTATGACCATTTTCAATCTGTTTCGCCGCCTCTGTGTATCCACGTCTATATAAAAAAAAAAAATTGTTTTCCTTCAGCTAACCGAACAAGCCACGAAAGACTACAATCGAGGAAGAATGTACCTGTCGGACTACGCGACGCGCGAAGGTGTACCTGTTTTTCAGAATATCACAGACGCTTTGCAACATGCGATACAGCTAGTTGAACGTCTCCGTTGATCTTCTTTTTCTCCTTTTCCTTTTTCTTCTTTTCTCTTCTATTCTACTTCACTTTATCTTCCTCTGTTCTGTTTTTTTTTTTCTATTTCTTCTCTGTTTCGCTTCTCCTTCCTATTTTCTATTTTTTCATACGTTTTTAAGCGTTTCGATTCACCGATTAATTTATTTTTATCGTTAGCGATAATGTTCAGCTACCGATCGAAATGAAGGAAAGCCAAGGTAGCGGTTGTTGTTACGGTAATCGTGGTATTTTGCACAACATATTTTCCCGATCTGTCGGAGTTAGAAAATGCTTGTGTTTAATCGAAGGTTGCTCGTATCGAGCGAACCGCGCGGGGCGAAGTGCGCTGCTTTGGATTTCAGTGAGATTTCTCGCAGTCGGTAGTCGAACATACTTTTTATAGTAATTCAACTTGATAATTTTGTAACCTTTTGGTAACTGGTTGAGGATTGATATACGTGTATTGTACATAGATTATTAGTTGTTTCTAACGATCTAATGATAATTAATTTGGAATTTGGTAGAAAGAATGGCCGAGTATGCGTGGACGAGAGTGATGTGTGCGTAAGTGTGTACAGAGGACGTGTGCGTACTTGTGTATACGAACAAGGAGCGTTTTCCTAGCGCTACGTTATACCGTGTTGTACGCTGTGTGCCGCGTATTACGGATCCGTAATTTATCTGTGAACCACAGAATTTACGAGGAAATTGTAATTCTAAACACGTATATGTACAACAAGAGAAGGCAGGAGAAACAAAAATGAATGTAGCTGTACGTAAAATACCTCGTGGTCTCATTTGACGCTCGTATCGTTGCAACAGTTTGCCCATCTCGACGCACATTTTCCTCTCTTTTCTTCCTTTCCTCTTCAATCCTTTTTCCACTCCATAACCTCTACCACTATCCTCTTCCTCTCTGCCGTTTATATAACTTGGCAACAACATTTTCTTTGTATAATAAATGGAAAGGAAAGAAAAGAAAAGAAAAAAGAAAAATATTGTTTTTATTTGTGTAACAATTAGCTGTGCCAGTGTAAAATGGAATGCGTGATACGTCGAACTGAAAAATGTACGTTTTCTATGCGTTACTATTTTTTCGAGGAGAATAATATCGATAAATATTTTTTAGAGAAAGTAAAACTGGTACCATGGCTGGTAAAAATAGAGGCGTGTATACGGCGTACCTGAAGTCAGAAAAGAGAAAATTAGATGAAAGAGATTTTCATCGGGAGAAAATTGAGGAGGAGGGTACCGCAATACCGACTTACTTTTGGTCCTCGGGAAAATATTGCAAAGCAAATAGCGTTGGATCGGAAAATGCTGCTTCTGCGGTAACGAACGCTTCTTTGCTCAGTAGGAAACCTTGAGCTAGATCGCCCTCTGCTAATCGTTCAGCCGAATTTTCCACCAAACGCAACGCAGTCTTTATTCTATTCCCCACGACATCGGTCACTACTATGTTACCAATTTCTTGGAGTAGCTGAGCGATCGACTGTAGGGTCAATTTGGCCGAGGTGAGCTGTTCGATCGTGCGAACACGTAACAGCGCGTCCACTTCCCAGTCGCGCAGTTTCAATCCTACCGAAGGGACAGTTGTGACGCCATGCAAGAATTTCTGAAAAGCAAAAGACGAATCATTCGTTTGGATTAGAGTAGGGTAGACAGGTGGGAGAGGTAGCTGGTT